TCAAATGAAGAGCATGAGTTTAAATCTTTATAATTGCATTTAAGTGCTAATATGTAACATATATAATTTTGGTGAAACTTATATCAAATTTCATGAGTGTCACAATGGTCAAGAGCCCAATATCTTGGAGCAGGGGTCACGGGTTCGATACCCTCCCACCTTATTCCATTTGTTTTGGCAAAAATTGTAGATTTAAACTTATTACACTAAAAATGTTGGCAAAATGATTCGAAACTGGGACCTCTGAGCTGATTATACAAGTTCTGGCCACGTGAGCTACAAGGAATTTATGTAAACAAAGGAACTTACCAAATATATAATTAGAATATTTGTTCATTGTCCAAAAGAAAAAAATTGTTCCGACAGATCCAGCACGGGCGGTCGCCGGGGCTCGCCGGCTGCTGGGTCCGCCACTGCTTTTACTTTTTACGGTACTTATAAAGTATTTTATAATAACATGCAATGCATGTTCAACTTTGACTAGTATAGACCAAAAGTCACAAAATATCTTATAAGAAATATTAAGCGCTTCTAATAATGAATTTTGGCCCAAAGAAAGGGGTTTTCAAACCGGGGCTAAAAGCGTAAATCTTAGACAGCCTTATGAAATATGGTCTGAATTTCCGTTTCCAGAAGATTTTTCATTTTGATATCCAGAAAAAAGGCTTTGCGGTTACTAAGAACACTAAATTTAAATTATTTAGCTCGATGCTCATAAATTCATTATTAAAATTGTTTTGCCACAAATACTTCCCCACTTTCCAGATAACACTCCAATTATTTTCCAATCACAATTCCAAAGTGGTGGGACCCACGTACTTGGAAGTCCAATTTAATCTGACAATGTTCCCAGCAAAGTTGCTATAATTGACTTTTCTTGTGCACATTAATTTGTTTTTTTTAATATTGCCCTCCAACTTGGGTGTTAGGTGGAATAGTTTTTCTTCATTTTTGCTGAAAATTGAACGTGCTGTAGACAATATACAACGGGAAGGATGACTAAAAAATTGGGATTCTGACACAATTATTGACTTTGGAGAGTGTTGTCTAAAAACACTGTAGGAGAATTAGATTTTGTCCACCTATCTTGCTTAAGCTTTCATATTTTATATATACACACTCACACACAAACACACACTTACACTTATATCAAACTCGTCATTACCAATCCCCTCCCAATTATCTTTATGCATTTTAAATTAGCCATGGGACATAATGTCATCTTTATGTTGTCGGCAATGGTCTACTTGCTTATCAACATTGTTACATCTCTAAATAGCTCCACTGATGAGTATGCTCTTCTAGCTTTCAAATCTCAAATAACTTCTGATCCAAATAAAATCTTGGCAAAAAATTGGTCACAAGGAACCTTGTTCTGCAATTGGATTGGCATTACTTGTGGCAGGAGACATCAAAGAGTTAGGGAGCTGAATTTAGCAGATATGGGTCTAGGAGGTACTATTGCTAAAGAAATTGGTGAACTCTCTTATTTGAGATCCTTAATTATTAGCAATAATAATTTTCATGGGTTTATCCCTAATGAAATTGGTAACCTCAGCCAGCTTCAAGAAATAGAGATGCAGCAGAATGAGCTAACTGGTTCTATTCCACCAACTTTTGAGTTTCTTGAAAATCTTTCGAAATTAAATATCTCCCATAATGGACTCACCGGAAATATTCCTAACGGGATTTTCAACCTCACTTCTCTGATTGAAACTAGTTTTGGAAGCAATAATCTCTCAGGAAGTCTACCCATGGATATTTGCTTCAATCTTCCAAAGCTAGAGACGTTAAGGATTTCAGCGAATCAAATGGGTGGCGACATTCCTCCAAGCTTGGGAGCTTGCATGAATCTTAAACTACTTTCTCTGTCGTACAATAATTTTTCCGGAAGCATTCCAATGGAAATCGGGAAGTTGTCAAAGCTTCAAGTTCTCTATCTCGGAGCAAATAATTTGATAGGTAAGTTTAAAACGTTGTTCATATACGTACATCTCCCACTTCACTAGATAATGTATTCCAAAAATTTTGACAATTGACAAGAATTGTTGTCCCTTCACATCATAAATCATACTCTTACATGCATACTGATCTGCTTGTTGACGCCCATGGAGT